TTATAAAATATAATTTTTGTATTATTTATATATACCTAGAATTTGAAAATTTGTACATTCATTAAACACTATCCATTTTCTTACCAATATCAGATTCCTGTTACAATTTTTCTTATAATCAATAATTTTTGTATTATTTTTTAACAATATTACTGTTACATTTATATTTTTAATAATATAATCACAGCTTTTATGTCCTTTGCCGTTGCTTGAAAAAATAAAAAAGTTTATAATGATTATTTTGTAAATAATTATTTTGCAATATTGTGCAAGAAATATATGAAATTTGATATGATATTAAATAGATTGAATATTGTAAAATGTAAGGAATTTTATTCATTTTTCCAACTTGTTTATGTATTATAGATATGGCTTCCTGGGCCCTAGTGGTAGTGGCAAAACCACCCTGCTTTCCTGTATGGTTGGCGTTCAAAAAGTGGACAGCGGCGATATTTGGGTACTCGGTGGCAAGCCAGGAACCAAAAATTCCGGGATTCCAGGACCTCGTGTTGGTTATATGCCACAAGAAATTTCGTTAGTCGATGAATTTTCCGTATCTGCTGCGTTTTATTACTTTGGAAAGGTGAACGGCATGGAAGATCACGAGATCGGTAATTTGCGAACCAGGGAATTATTGTAAAATTCTTCAGGAAATTTCAGAGAAAATTTTTCATAGAATCCTGCAGGAAATGATTGAAAAATTCTTCAGGAAATTTCAGAGAAAATTTTTCATAGAATCCTGCTGATAATTATTGAAAAAAATTCTTCAGAGAAAACAATATTTTTCAGAGGAGGGCTACATGAACCTAAAAGACATACTTCAGCTACCACCCAGAAATCGTCTGATGAAGGACATGAGCGGTGGTCAGCAAAGGAGAGTATCCTTCGGAGTATCCATGCTTCACAAACCCGAATTATTAGTCCTCGACGAGCCCACTGTTGGTTTAGATCCAGTTATAAGGAACAAGCAAGTACACCTTCATCTCCTTAGCTCCTTCATTTAACTAAAGCAAAAAGCAATAATGTAAATGAAGTTTCTTCGCACAGTCTCTGGTGTCATTTGGAGAATCTCGCGAAAGATGGTATCACTGTGATAATTACCACTCATTACATCGAGGAAACAAAACAGGCTGACAAGGTATACAAATTGTAACAAACGTCCACATCGTTTAATCTCGTGTAATCGACATTCTAAGTACTTACATTGTAACGTCTATTTACGACGCCTAAAAATTTCATGAACCATTTTATCTTGCTAATTTTGTCTACAAGGATTAAATGGACCATAATTTTGTGCATTGTATTATTTTCTCTTTCTTATATTTATAAAAATTTCGTAAGAACTTTTATTGTTACGCGAACCCAAAAATTTGTGCAGAATTTTATTGTGACTGAAATAGATATATAGCAGCGAGCCATAGTTAAATACTTTTCCATTGCACAATTTTTCATAATTAAATTTCAGTACAAGGTGTCGAAGCAAATTGATTAATTTCAAGGAAAGGCTTTTGAGGAATTATTCTGACTGATATAAAAATTCAGACTTCTATTATATTTTTATTATACTATTCGAACAAACAAACGTCTGACTGTTGCATTATTCAAAAGAGAATGTTAATTATTATATCAATTAATCCATATCCGTTGTGTCGATACTCATTACGCTAATTCAAGCTTTTGTGTAGTATCTCTAATATGAATGAATAATGCTAGTAATAGGTTTAACCGTTCTCTATAATAGCTATCTATCATCGACGTAACAAAAAATTTGACGCATGTTATACATAAAAATTAGTCTTGTATATTAATGCTCCGATTATAACTTTTAGATTGGATTAATGAGGAGTGGAATACTGTTGGCTGAATCAACACCGAACGATTTACTAGAGAGATTTGAAACCGATTCCCTGGAAGAAGCCTTCTTGAAATTGAGTCAAATGCAAGAGAATTATAAACCGATAAATGCGAGTCAAGTCTCCAATCCTTGTATGGAATCTAACGAATTGACTCATTCGAACTTCCCCAATCAAAATCGTCCAGTAAGGGTGATATAACGTTTAGGTTTATCGAAAATTGATTAGATATAGAATATATTTATATATACGCTTTGGATAAAGTATATCTGAAGTTTTTTTTCTTCCTGAAACTTAAGTTACAAGGAAGTAGTAACTTATAGAAGTAGAACAATGTGATAATTTACTGCAAAATACTCTGTTCTATTATGTAATTTTGAGAACTGTCGAAGTTCACAGTAACACTTCCAATTTTACAATAATAGGAAATAAAGTCGTACAGATAATTTATTTATAGGAATTCAACTGTAATTCTCATAAGTAACTATTCGAGGGGCTTATGTGGATTTTTGTTTAATTTTCTGGTTCACCTTGCATTGTTACGACTAGAGTGGAATTGTTAGTAATTTACCTGCTAGAAAGCAGTTTGCCTGCTTTTTCTGTATTGCTAAAGTAGAGCCTGGCATCGAGGAGAACGAAGTAGAGGCTAATATATTCAAACAACATCGATGATTTCTAGTTCACTTTACAATTGAGAAATAATAATTAACTAATTGATAAAAAATTAATTTTTGATTTATACATGCGCATATGCGTATAATCCTTGACAACATTAATACCATTCCAGTTTTTAAAAGAATGGAAGTTTTAAAAAAAGATCTTGTTTGGATTAAAATTGGATTCGCGTAAATTTTTCGATATTTACAAAAGATCTTGAAAGCATCTTATACGTGTTATTCTATTAAAAATCCAATGTGTATGATTGAAATCTCCATGTTTAAAGTAACATGCTGAACAGATCCATCAAAAACTGTAACATGTTTTGTATGTGACTTTGAGTTTGGCTGAATAGTGTATTTTGAAAGATCATGAAATGGCATATCCTCTGAATATTCCTAATTTTTGTTACTCTTCTTGTTAACTAAGTTTCGGTGAATATTGACCGGAATAATTTTCCAAAACGATGAAATAATGAGTGGAACCATATTTTACAAATTTAAGCAATTACGAAGCAGCAAAATAAAGAGGTGTCATGCTTTACTTAACAAGAATTTACTTCAGTTCGTACGTTATCCTGGGTAACTATTATATTTATGATACTACTGCAACCAAGGAAGGCATTCTATTGATACTTTCTTTGTCTTTCTTTCTTTTCAGAGGAATATTGTTTTCGCTTATTTTGCCAATAATGCAAATGGTTTTGGTTTTCAACTCGATTGGCATGTACCCCAAAGGACTGTCGATATTGGTCGTGAATAATGAGGCAGATAACTGTAATTATGGAAAATATCAAGGCAACGTTACATATAACCGGGACGAGAATACGTGCACTATGGTCGATATTAGCTGTAGATTTCAAAATGCAATAGATGATTTAATTCCAAACAAGGTGTGCAAATATACTTAATATTTAGGGCACATTGCTTTATATTTATTGTATTAAGAATTTTGTATATTACGAATAATACAGAAGTTACTAATAATGCACTATCTTGTTCTACAAACAGGGCTCCTAAAACACTCAAAATACTTAATAATTATCAATTCAAGATAGCTTTTAATATCTACTTGCTAAACTAAGATGTTTGTGAAAATGTAAAAAATTAATTATTATTTTTATGTAACATTATTAACAGTAAATCATTTCTAAAATTAGGTACTAATAAATTTCGAGGATATTATATATATATATATATATAATATAGGTACAATAAATCAAAGTTATTCATAATTGGTTCACTTAATAAATATTTGTAACAACAAGCTGTTTACTTCTATCAAAATCGATTGTACTTCATTTTTAGATATTCTATGACAGTATAGAGGAGGCAGAACAAAATGCTTACTCTGGAAATACCTTTGGAATACTACATTTCCATAGGAACTTTTCAGACAGCATGACAAATAGACTAGAAAACTCATTAGATGTGTCTAATGATGTTATTACGACCAGCAGGATTAATATTTTCATATACATTTTAGGTAGGTATGTGATAATAAATTAATTAATAAAATATACGTAGGTTATAAAGGTGTTTTGGATTCTTAATTTAATTTATAATTCAAACGAATCAAGAGATTATATTCCTTTCACACTGTACCAAAGTTATTGTGATGTAAAGACATAAGAAAGCTAGGTCAGCAAGTATGACTATAAGCAAGCAGATATACTATAACTCTAGATGAACACGGCTTAGTTCTAATTATTGGAAATTTTAAACATTTAAAATGATTGGAATAGAAAAATCTCGTATATGGGCAAAATTTTCACTGATAAATTAGCAGTAGTTTTATGATAAAATTGCATAATTGACAGCTATAAGCTAGCAAATTAAAGGGAAAGTGAATATAGTTAACATGTAACTATTATCATTAAGAGAGAATGATAAGAAAAGATATATATAATTTAAAAATAATTAAAATAATTAGAAGATTAATTTTATTTCTATCAAATGTAATTAAAATTACCAATTAAAGAATTTGACTAATTTTATTCTAATGCATAATGATCATTGTTCTGTTGTTTTTCTTATAGATTACCCAACCTATTTCTATGTACAACGGGAACTGTACGACATCTTTTTAAAACAGTATGAGAAAATCATGGAGGAATGTGGGGCTTCTCGAAAGCTGGGTAACGTGCCAATACTGGTACGTACATTTATTGAAATTAATATCTATGAAAATAATTCGGAACTATGATATCATTATATTTCTTCATGTTACAGTTTGAAGAACCAATTTACGGCTCGAAGGAACAAACTTATTTCTCATTTCTTATCCCAACATTTGTATTAGCGTAAGATTTTTTAAACAAAATGTATTATATCTCTTCGAATGATCATAGCACCTCCTTTATCAGTGTAAATAAATTTACATATTGCAAATAAAATAATTGTTCTTTTTAGAATACTATTTATTTTGGCAACATCCATGTGTGCAAGTGTAATCGTAACTGAACGTCATTCAGGCCTATGGGATAGAAACTTAGTTCAAGGTAAATTTTTTCAGTACCATAGTTAACACGAAAATGTTTTCAAAAGGGAGCAAAGAGTTCTTAACTATCTGAAATTAATTTAAATTTAATTTAAATAACAATACCTTACGACATTTTCATTTCAATAATAATTTAAATAATAATGTAACTTTTATTTCTTCGCGTCAATTATGCGAATGAATATATTTATACATGGTAATAAGTAAAGTTTCAAACTTTACTTCGTGTGTCCCAACTTTTTACGATAGCCTTAGTTACATCACTTATTATTTTTATTCTCTCTATGATCACGAATTAACTTGCATTTTTAACATTCTCGCTGCCTCTTCGTCGAATATCACAGGATATATGATTAGGTATAGCTTTAATACGATAATGCCATTATTTACAAGCAAAAAGTAATTCTTTATCTAAATCGCTGACGCGGGCATGGCTAAAGTACTTGAATTCTAATTAAACCAGTGTTAATTGCTTTTTGTCTTTTACATTCTCATGCATAGCTGTTGTAAATTTTAATTCATTAATAATGGTAGAAAAGTGTATTGCTTTGAAGTATTTAACAAGTGATTTATATACACCTATTTTTGAATGATTAATTTCCTAACTTTTATTAATGTTCATATTATTGTTAAATAGGTGTCACCACGTCAGAGATCCTAATTACTCATATGATATCGCAAGTAGTGGTAGTCCTCTTTCAAGTGACGATAACATTATGTATCTTTTTCCTATACTATAATGTCGAATGCAAAGGGTCAGTAGGAACGATCATTTGGTTGGCTATATTCGGAGGAATTAGTGGAACAACATATGGTAGGTGCTCGAATTAATTAAAATTGACATAGTCAGCTAACGTGTCTTCACAATTAACCAAAGAGAACAATTTTATGACAAAAACATTATGATTAAAAATATTATTCGTAGGCATGACAATATCAGTGATCTCCAACGATCATTCTTTGGCTAATTATATGTCAGTGGGGACATTTTATCCATTGGTACTCCTTTCTGGTGAGTAATTAGGTATAAATTTACTAAGTGTTGAAGTACATAAAATTTCTGACTCTCTGGAGTTTCAATTATCACTTATTGATTTCTGCTCTCAGATGAGAAATTAGAGTATGGAAAACTTGGAGAAATTATAAAGAAGATATAAAACAATACTTAATTAGAATTTCTTGCAATTTTCAAGGATTAATTTGGCCACTTGAAGCAATGCCGAAGCTCCTTCGATGGTTCAGTATCCTCATGCCTTTAACGTTGCCCGGGATTGCATTTCGAGGGATTCTGGAAAAAGGGATTACCTTCAATGACCCAGAAGTGTACGAAGGATTTCTAGTGACCATTGGATGGATTTTTGGATGCCTGGGTCTTTGCCTAGTTCTGTTAAGGTTGCAAAAATAGATATGAAATGAAGAAAAAAAAAAGAGAGAAAAAAAATAGAACATTAAAACGAAGAATAAAATATTTCATGTAGTTTGTGCAATAGTGAAGAAGTATCTTTCTCACGAGTTTCACAGGGTTGATTCGTTCTGGATTTATTTACTATAGTGTTAGCTTGCAGCAACGTAGTAACGAAGACTAGTACTTTTATATATATAAAAGTACAATATAAAAGTACAAGTAACTTTCTTCGAGCGTTATCGTTCTACTGTAAGACAATAATATTATTACGCGAGTAGAAGAAGAGCAAGTTAACGATTGTTAATAATTAAGAGGAAGAGTGTTTGGAAAGGAATGTGTCAGACACAAATTTACCTCGTACTCGTAATCTTCTTTGATATATTCCGGAATCACGCCGACATGATCTCTGTGAAGGTTCGATCTATAAAAATGTAATTATGAAACAAAGAGCTCGTATCATCGAGATCGATATTGCATATCGAGTATGTACTTAGGACAAAGATAGGTGTAAATAGACAGGATAAAGATAAAACGATTAAACGAGCTGTTTTGGCATCAGTGAAATATAATTTTCTCGTTTTTGATTTATTGATCTCCTCTTACATGCTTTTTGTTCACAGATATACATGTGTTACAACACTCACTATTATCGGAGATTAACATAGTATACAAACATATACAACGTGCGAACTATACGTGTGAATTTCTCTTTATGTATTTTCTTTTTCACTTTTTTTTTTTTTTTTTTTTTTCG